AAACAATGGCAACGCTTACAGGTGGACTACAAAAAGAAAGTAGAGAGGGAGCTGCAGCACAACAACACCAGAGAGGTGTGGAAGGGGAGGATCATCACTGGCTATAAAGAGAAGAACAGCCAGGCAACATCAGGTGATGTGGACAAGGCCAACGAGTTCAACCTGTTCTACAGCAGGTTTGACACAGCTTCATCTGTTCTCTCTCCCACTGCTTCAGCTGCAGCTTCTCCTACAGCATCTCCTCCACAACCTGACACTGCAGCTGCAACTCCCTCCACACTGGGGTCAAGTCTCCTGTCCTTCATAGCGGAGGAGGTGAGGGCGGAGCTTAAGAGGCTACGTCCTGGAAAGGCAACAGGCTGTTACAGGACTGTGCAGCCCAGCTGGCTGAGCCTCTCCAGAGGATCTTTAACTTAAGCCTTCAAACAGGGAGGGTCCCGGTCCTGTGGAAAACATCATGTGTTGTTCCGGTACCTAAAGTAGGAAGACCGTCTGAGATAAATGACTAAAGACCTGGAGCGGGTGCTTCTCCACCTTCTGAGGCCACAGGTTGGAAATGCACTAGACCCCCTACAGTTTGCCTACAAAGAACATATTGGAGTGGATGATGCCGTCCTTTACATGCTCCAACGGGTCCATTCTTACTTGGATGAGCCAGGTAGTTACATGAGGATTATGTTCTTTGATTTCTCAAGTGCATTTAACACCACCCAACCCCCATTCTTAAAGACAAGCTGGAAGGGATGGGGGTGGATCCCTGCTTCACGTCCATTGTGGATTACGTGACAAGACGACCACAGTATGTCAGGCTGGGTAACTGTGTCTCAGGGACAGTGATGAGCAGCACTGGGGCTCCACAGGGGACTGTTCTGGCTCCGTTCCTGTTCACCCTGTATACGGCCGACTTTAAATACAACTCTGAGTCCTGCCACATCCAGAAATACTCAGATGACACAGCTAATGTGGCGCGTATCAGGAACGGGCAGGAAGAGGAGTACAGGGATCTGGCGATGACCTTCATTGAATGGAGCGACAAGAACTGCCTCCTTCTGAACACCTCCAAGACCAAGGAGATGGTCATGGACTTTTGGAGGTCTAGGCACACCCTTCAGGCAGTCAACATTCGAGGGAAGGACATTGAGGTGTTGCACACTTATAAATACCTAGGTGTGCACCTGGACAGTAAACTGGACTGGTCCCTGAACACAGATGTCATCTACCTGAAGGGGCAGAGCTGGCTCTTTTTCCTCAGGAGGCTCAGGTCCTTTGACGTCTGCAGTGAAATGCTGCATGTTTTATCAGTCAGTGGTGGCCAGTGAACTTCTTTATGCTGCAGTCTGCTGGGGCAGCAGCATGTCCAACATAAACACAAGGAGACAGGACAAGCTGGTCAAAAAGGCTGGGTCTGTGCTTGGCAGGAGTCTGGACTCACTCAGGACTGTTGTGGAGAGACACATGCAATGTAAGATGGAGGCCATCTTAGACAATACCAACCATCCTCTCCACAACATTCTGGCAGGACAGAGAAGCAGCTACAGCTCCAACAAACGTCTCATCTCACTGCGCTGCAGAACAGAGATTATTATTGTTTATTTATTTTTCACTGTTTTTATTATAATCAACAATGAGCTAATGGGCACATGAATTTCCCCTAGGGGATAAATAAAGTATCTATCTATCTATCTTAAAAAGTCGAAGGTTTATTAAAGGAAGTCTTAATCGAAACAACAAAAAAAGACATTTGTTAACATAAGTAGCATAGGATCATGGGAGTTGTTGTCTTCACCACCATTGCTTCTCCCAGTTAGGATTCCTTCAGTGTCAGGAGGTTTTTACAGAGGTCTTCTCCTCTTCAAACAAACAGACCAGCTTGTTTCTCTACCAACTTTAGATACAGACATCTGATGACTAAAATCCTTCATCCAGTTGTAGTGTAAGTAGCGCAAAGGGGATATGATGCCATTGACAGGCGACCAGATGAAACTGACTGTTACCTTGATTAAAATCACAGATTTCTCTAGGTTTCATAATTGATGGAAACATTTGGGATAATGTAAGTACATAAGTTTAAAAAATACAGTATATAACATCAGTCTAGTTGTTTATAGACTTTTTAATGCAGAAAAGTTATATATATTAACTTTAAATCAAACAGTCTGGCTGTTTTACATACAACACTGTCAGCATAATATAGAACACTGTTTTTAACAGTATATCAGGGCATAAAAATTTGAACAATTCAAATGGTTGTTTTGAATTGATGCATTACAAGTAATTGAAGGCTGCTCTTTTAAGATAATTAAGAAGTAAATAAAAAAAATTCTCAGCTCAAGTTTTGGAACTGTAAGGAAGTGGTTGTAAAAGCATCAGTTACATTATGTAACGACACGTCGAAACTACAAAATGCTTCAAGCACATTTTAGCAGAAAAAAACCAATGTCCAGATCCACTGACTTAATAAAATATTAACAAATATATATATATATATATAATAACATAATATAACATACATAAAAGTTCAAAAAGAACATTAACAATCTCAAATAGTTCAAATCAGAAAATGTTTCCCGGTCAGAGGTCTCAACAAATGCGCTTTTAACACATTCATCATTAACTCATTAGTGGAGAACTCCAGTGATTTAGTATTGCACAAAACTGTGGGACTCACAGGAAACTAAAAGGACATAACTGAAACAGCCAAAGTATCCTCATCCAAAAACACTCCTATCCTACAATCCCCATTGTGCAATAGTATCTTTCTGTTAGACCATCCCTGCTTGGCGATTGCCATTATCTTTTCAACATCCATGCCTCCTGTTAGTAACACAGACTTTGCTATAAACTTTTAGCCTTCAAGGACAAGAGCTAAGATTCTTTCCAAGCTATTTTCTTTATTTGACAAAACTCCTGAACTAAATTGATGTGTGAAATTGGTGGAGTGCCCCTTTAACATGAGAAATGTTTTACTTCATTGGAAACATTAACTTTGTTGATATTTACTTTAGATTTAGAAACCAGAGTCTGAAAGCAAAAGTCAGTGAGTTTAACATAGCAGCGTTAGTTTTCTGTTAGTGCTGAACTGTGACCACACACATATCACCTCCTACCTCACTGAACCTCCAGATGAATCACACACAGTCACTCACAAACCAGCTCAACTATCACAATACACTTCTGAGAACACAGGAAATATAAAGCAAGACAGTCATATGACACATCAAGATTACTGAGAGGAATCTATACAAATACAATGGCAAAATCCTTTTTAAGAAAGAACACTATATTTATTCACTGCATTGTGAAGTGCTCTCAAGTTCAATGATATTTAGAGACAACTCAGACTAAACCATGTGCAAAACAATTCAGTTCCAGCCTTTTTCACATATATACACGTGTTATCATAGAAAAAGTCTTTAAAAACAGTCATCATCTGGCTCAGGGGTTCCCTGTGGAGTTTTACACCTCCAGTACCATTATGGATCTGTTTTTCTGAGTAGGTCCCTGTTTCGCTGATCTCGTCCACACACAATGAGGATATACACACGCGTGCACACAGGTGACACATCCTATTGTGTCGCACTATTCCACTGATCAACAGGTGGCGGTAAAGCAATGAGAAAGGTACCTGCAAGAAGACGACTGCTAATAGTAAACATGGATGTAAACAATGCAGGATTCAAAATACTTTTAGAATAGTTTAGATCTCAGGGATATACTAAATGCATTTTGGTAAGAAAAACTGAATGCTAAACTTACTTTTGTTTGTTTACAAGAAAAACTGCACAGGACCCCCTTAAAGGCCGAGCCAACACAAAGGGTTTAAAGTGTCTGCAGTGAAGAAAGGAAACAGCTGTGCTTCAGAGCTCTGGTCCTCTCCAGCAGTGCAAAGTCAAGAAAAATCACAAAAATGGCACATAGCTTCACAAAACAGCAGGAAACAATGAAAAGCGCAGCACCAATATATTCATATTAAACTAGCAATTATTGATCACTATTGGTTTTTAGGAACAACAAACAATATGAGTTTTTTACCTGCATATAATTATGTTAAAATGAGAAGTGGTTTTTGTTTCAAATTTTACACAAGTATTTTCCTAAAACTAATGGATTAAATTTGAATTTAACAATAAATACTTGTCCAGTGACATTTTCTTGAGTCACTGATACATTGAATTGTATGGTAGTATTGAATACTGAATATTAACTTTAATTGAATAACGAATATTAACTTTATCCCATAGCACACACTCAGTCAGAGGACAAAAATTACATTTATAAACTAAATAGTCTTGCCAAATACAGTAGATGGATTACTGACTGGGACAACAGGCGGCGGAGCCTCTGTCTGAGGGACTTGAATGTGTTTTTCATTGAAATGTGAAATGGTTCAGTTAACAGTAGCAATGTCCTGAAGTCCATGTTTTTCTGAGCCTGATCCTTTAATACTGAGTGTGTGCTGATTCAGAGTCTGGTCTGCTCATTTATTTTTATTATATTTTTATTTTCTCCTAACACAGCACCGCAGTGTGAAATCAGGGGGTGCTCTGTTTTTGTAATAACCATGTGAGGTTGGGATTAGCTTTTACAACACTATGGGAAGATGAAGGTTTTAGTTAATTAATCAGAATGGAAAAAAAACATCCTTTCTCATGCTCCAAGTCACTGTTGACTTTTTTTAGTGTTAAAACAAGACCACCAGCTTTCCCTAATAATCATGCTCTCTTGACCACAAGCAGACATTGTAAGAAAACTAAAGAAATATATTGTTACTTGTTGTGGATGTTTTGAAGATGTGTTCAGGATAAGCATTTAATCAAAAACTTTTCATTATTATGTTGATTTAACAGCCCACCAAAGTATTGCCACCACAGCAATGTCATGAAGTTGCAGTTACATAACTCTGCAAAGGGCTTTTAATTTGAAATGAGGGATACAGGAAGGGAGAGGGAGAGAGAGAAAAAAGAGCAAAGAGAGAGAAAGGAAGATGTAATTTACTAACATTAAGTTAGATAGATTTTTATTACCTATTGTTACTCACTCGTTATTCACGCGTTCTACATGTGCACACCACCCAAGTACAACAAAACCCATCGTAGTCCAGGTATGCGGTGGGCATATGGGGACAAATGGCAGTGACCGTCTGCACTGTCAAAACATCCATAACGTTTTGAAGCATCTTCTGGGGCTGGGCAAACTAGTATTATAAAAAAACGTAAATTGTCTTAACCTTAGATACCTTATCTGTAGGGTTTCTGGATTGCATTATTGCAAAATTACATAATAATACATGTGAACATTTTCTGTCTGTTTTTAAGTAATTGGTTATGCATATGATTGGATCATTGATTAATCATTCCAGTTCCATTCTTCCCTAAAGCCCAGTGTGGCTCTACAGGAAACCGCCACGCAGACTGAAGGGGGTGAATTTCTGAGCCTGCTGGGCTCCAATCTCAGCCACATACAGGGCCCCAGTCTTTAGGTCAAGGTCTACCAGGTGGGGCTTCACATCATCAGCCAACTGGATCACACTCACCACTCTGCACTGGCCAATTAAACCCACTGGTGGTGCATCCAGTAGCGAAATCTGATTGGTGTTGAGCTGGACAACAACAAAGTACTTCTTGTCTGGGGTCAGGCGTACTGAGTAGGGGGCATCTTCTGTAAAGCAGCTCCCCCATGTGCCTAGCCATTCCCCAGTGATGGAGTTAAAGACCTGGATCCTCTTGTTGCCCCTGTCGGCCACCCACACCCTTTGGGCATTGTCAACAGTCACGCTGTGGGGGATGTAGAACTGAGCCAGGCCTTGTCCTTTCTCTCCGTGTATCCACAACACTTCCTGCTCTTTAGACAGCTTGATGAGGCGGTTGTTCATTCCACCATCACCGTCCACGATGTACATTTCACCAGAGCTGTGGACGAAGATCTCAGCTGGTTGGTCGAACTGCAAAGGGTTCAACCCAGAGCCTGCCTTCCCTGGTGTACCAAGCACCTGACACGTAGAAGAAAAGATTCAATTCTACATATCATATATAATACTTGTAATGCAAGCCAAGCTGCAGGAGCCTCAGCCAACAATTCCTTGCACCAAATGAAAATCCTACTGTAGATAAAGCTGTTACCTGAAGGAGCTTCCCAGATGGCGAGTACTGTTTGATGCAGTGGCCGTACGGGCCATTCCCCACGTCAGTGATCCACACAGTAGGGTTTGATGAGGCTGCATCTGCTAAAAATATCCCATGAGGCATCTCCAGTGTGGTTGTGTTCCACGGCATGAGGAAATCTCCATCTGTGGTGAACAACAGCACCTTGGGCACATTGTCTCCTGGAAGCAAAGAAAAAGGCAAACACTAAGTGAAGCATATAGCAAACACCACACAGTACAGTTTGTATTGATTTGATTTTCACTTGCTCAAAGTCAAGTCTCGTCACTTTTTTTGATCCTTAAGAAAACCGCAGAAGAGAAAAAAAAACCCACATGACTATTGATACTATTCTTCAAACTTGGGTTGTAATGTTTATAGTGGGCACTTTTCTAAGCCATTTCTAAGCATGTCCTCTGCTGAAATTTCACATGGGTCATTAATATTAACTGTAACCACTGCAACTCACACTTTCTATATGCACACAGCTGACTCGTGCTAGTATGAAACAAAGAGGACTTTATACACACACAAACAGTGACGTCAGTATTCAGCAGTCCGGCAGAGGTTCAGGAGTAGGGCTGGGGCGACGCGTCACAAGGAGGAAGTAAAATGGCCGCACCTAGTCAGAGCATGGACTCCGCCTAAGACCATCTGAATAACCTCGCCCACGATCATCTAAAGTGTGGGAGTATTTTAAGTAGGGACCGAACAACATGGTGCTCTGCAAATTAGAAATGGCATATCACAGTAGGGCTGGGGCGCCATGCTCGAGCACTTGGAGCAGAGCTTTATTTTGGAGAGACTTTATACAGGACTGTAAAACACGGATTACCAGTTAAGACTGGGCTGTTTTTTGTAGGTGAATAATGTCCTGTAGTGCACACTTTGTTTGTCATATTTGCTTATTTTAACCCTCTTAAGCCTGTGGGAGCGTATACGCTTCCAAATTACACGCTTGCCTGCCTTGGCTTTATACTCAGACTAAATGGGAGCAGTGTTGTTTATTGAAGTCACAAAAAAAGACAGAAGGATGTGACAGTCACATATTTAGTGCAGCAGAGAAGGACCAGCCAAAAAAACGCCTGTAAATACTGCTCCAGAGAATCAGCATATCTCATGAACAGATGAAGATAGAAACTTCATATCATCTCTAGAACAACTCAAATAAGTACAATTTTCTGTGTGAAATTTTTTCTTCTTTATTATGGTTTACAGTGTTATCCATAGAATAAGTTAAAATTCAAGGTTTTTTATGGGCTATTAACCTCTCCCTATTATACTGTACTGAAGTCTTTATTGAGTGACATTTATTATTAGCTAAGGTTTACTGATTCTAAATATGTGTAGCACTTGGTGAAACTTTTAAATAATAATAATATTTTATTAGGAAAAAACCAAAGGTATTAAAGAAGTAAAATATCGAAATATAAATGACAAGTTTTTGTTTTTTTTTTATTTTGGGTAAATTTGTTGTTACATTATCCGAGTAATAAAAAAATAATAGATTAATTGAAAAAATCGATAAACAAATAATCGTTAGGTGCAGCCCTATTCAGGAGTGCATGTGCAGCAGCTGGTCAATTTACTCTAGAAGAGGGGAATACACAAACAAGGAAGACCTACCTACCTCTCCTAACTTAGCTAACTTCTTTGACAAAGGCAGTAGAAATATAACAAGAACTGAGTTCAACAAAGTGAACATTTCTGAATGTCCATGGTGAAGCGATTGCTTACAAGCCAAGCTATGTGATTACTAGTTAGTCCTGTAAGGCTACACATTAACACTGTTGTGCAGCCTATTCCGTACACTGCCATTTTGTTTTAGTTACTCAGGTTGGACATGTATTTAAACGGATCATACAGCACAGTACCAGATTACTGACGTCTGTCAGGAATACTACTGGGCCTTGTGCAAACATTGCACCTCTGTGGCAACCCATGTTATAGGATATAAATCTATTTCAATTCATTTAAAATGTAGATTAATCCACCAATGAAAATAGTCCCCCACAAATGCAGTATTTCCTTCTATATGAGTAACATTTCTTAAAAACTACAGTGAGCAGCTTTTTTAGGAAATTGCTGAGACTTTTTAAAAAAATAAACTATATATATTTTTGAGGTGTTTTTAAAGAGTTATGTCTTCAGTAGGAACCAATGGGCTTGGATCTATGAGCCACAGACAGAGGACGAGAATATGCAAGTGTGGGGAGACACATGAACAACACACTGGTGGTTTTAGTCTTTTCATGGGATATATTAACAGAAGAAAAATACAGTTACACCAGCCTTATCTTTGTAAAGGTTAATGGGCCTAATGGCCACTTATGTGCTCAAGATCACCAATGTGGACATGGGCCCTGACTCCAACTCATGCTGGAGGAGCATTAATACCATAAAAAAGTTTTTTCATGAGCCAACCCAAACGTATTAGTAAATAATCTGTTGACCATAGATGAAGCCATTAGTTAAATTTACAAATCCTTTATAAATGGCACCTTATTTGAATTACATTACTACTTTCTTGTAATCTTGCCTTGACACAATGAGGCTCAAAATCAATTGGTGCTACAATTCTACTTCTGCAAATCTACAAATGAGTGAACAAAATAACATTTACAAAGAGCTGTAGAAAGATTCAAGACTGTGCAGGAACACGAGAAGTTACATGAAACATGAGCAATTTGTAACATTTCTAAATCTGAATATACAGTATACTCACACATGTTAGGAAACATTTATGAACATATGTAAACTTTTACAAAAATCTGTATTAATTTGAACAATTAGATACACACTCAGTGCACATTTATGCATCCATGTAAGTCAGAGTTAGTCAGCATTAAAAAGTATTTTAAATTGATGCATTTGAAAAGCTCAGGACACATTATTAAGTAGAGGTAAACATTCACAACTCACATTTTCAGATGAGAATACACAGGCAAGTGTATTTTCACATCTGGATTTACACTCACAAATGTTAATGGACATTTCCAACTGATTTTATTTATATGCTAAATTTGTAAAATACCTTTTCTGTGGTAACTTGCAAAAACATGTTGAATAAACAGAGTAAAGCAAAAATAAATGTTTGCTAGAATAAAGGTAGTGCATGTATTCACCTCTCTGTGCCACATACACCACACCAGCGAACTGGTCGAGAGCCACTCCAAACACCTCCCCGATGAAGAGCTCTGGGTTCCTCGGCCAGCTCAGGTCCAGTTTGTACAGGGGTCTTCCCAGCAGCTGGTAGTCATGTGTGAGGCTGAAGCTGCCTTGCTGCTGCTGGGTGCCAATGGTTCCGTACAGCACCATCATGAGCAAGACTAATGAGGCCATGCTGGAAGCTATCACACACCTATGGCCTCTCTTTTTAATCAACATCAGTGTTTCCGCTACTGGCTTGTGCTGCGTTTAATATCCTGGTTCCGTGACGTTAGCTAAATCTCTCTAAATGTGTGTATCACCGCTGGAGAGGTCATCTAACGTCAGCTACAGAGTCTGCTCTGAAACAAGCAAACGGCTAATGACACGTGTTGAGATGCTATAAAGTTAAAATCCAGTCATTTATCTATATGTGTGTATGATTTGAAACCCACCAACCACACAATTTGTTGAATTCACTTCCTCTTGAGCCCCAAACGAAAACAAAACAGTGGGTAAAGTGAGACAGCATTTGACACAGCATTTCCGCTCATAATGGCGCAATAAAAACACGACTAAAATACAGAGACAGAAATCCTGGCTAGTGCTTTACTGGTTATATGGCAGGCAAGAGTTCAGACTCAACTTGTAAATACATTTGTATGAATATAAAGAAATATAGATGTGTACGGGCAAATCCGACACCTGTTTTTTACTAGTGTTTTTCCTGAATTGTTGCGATTTCTTCAACTCTGTTATTTTTAAGGCTTTTAATTTTATGGCAAATCTTTTCTATTTCCGGTAGCTTGACTCAGTAAAACATCTGACCAGAACAGTTTTACGTCACGACGTGTTGACGCAGCGTTGGCTGTGGAGGCGACTGTGCTTCCCTAACAGTAATTTTCTTACAACTATTTTTTCAGTATTTTTAATCGCATTGTGAATGACAGTCCGTGTAGGACAGAGATACCTTTCATGTAGTGTAAACCTTCGAAGAATCGACTCCATGGAGGTCGTAGACAGCCCGCTCAACCTCGTAAGTTTCGGTCTCGATGTTGCAATAACAGGCTAACGTTACTGTAGCTAGGGGATTGTATAGGTAAGCTACAGTAAGTTAGCGGCTAACCGCTCCGTTGCTTGCTGTATTTGTGTTGTTGTCTGCTAGCCTGGACATGCTACACATGGTACATTTTGGTTTTGTACTCGACAGAATGAGCTTAAATACTTTTGAAGTTGGAGTAAGTACTGTCTGCTTCCATTATTCTGTTACTAGTTTATTTCTTCACAAGGCCGTTTGGTGATAACCCTCTTTTAGCAGGTTATTTTAAAATGTCATGGCCACACTGTTTGCAACCTCTACTACCCAGGGGAACAATGAAACACTTTTCCACCTCAATATTTTTTAAGCTGTAAAATGCGTCGTTGTTGTCAATTAAGGACAATGTTAGTGGCATTGCCTTGAGTTAAGGTCTCGAATCTGATATGTGATCTGTATAGCAATTTTGTATACAGCATTATAATCAAAGAGGACATTTAAAAGTAATGGTAACAGCTATGGGTGGACTAATGTTTTTTCCAAGGCCGCATCTGATACCCATAATAAGTAACCAAGGAGACGGATAACCCATATTTGGAACCAATGTACCAACACAAAACTACTGCCACATAAAGCCTGTCGACAACTGCTGTGGTGTCCAGGTGTTCCTATTATTTTGTTCACCTCAGTTAACCCAATGAGCATTGGCATAATAATAGAAAACATTGTACAATGAAATACTGCTGAACAGCACCATATACTACATCCTCCAAAGGAATCATGATTCAACACCTCTCTACAATAATTTTAATAGAAACTGAATATTGTTACCTTCATGAATAAGTTTGTATCGCAGGACTGTTATATTAGACTGCATTCATTTTAGCTAGTTGTCCCTATAATATAATAAACTGCTTGCTGAGTATATATTAGTTTTATGCACAGGCTGCTAAGTATCTGACAAGAATTTATTGGTTGCTTTCAGTGCTGTTCTCACCTGGGAACAGTGTATATGTACTGAAATACCAATGTATTGTATAGTGCTGTGGTAAGTATGTTGTCTCATTTCAGATTGCTGGAGTTATTGTTACTGGTAGTGTTTTTTACTGCTCTACCTCAACCAAGTTCATGTTGCTATTCATCACAGCAGCAAACTACCCGCTGTACATTTAAACTTCAAATACTCGTAGCTCTCTTTTTTTAGCGACTTTCTCACTAATTCCACGGTTGTTTACATGCTATTCAGATCTGCTAGTACTTTAGCTTTGCAGTTAGCGATGGCTTCTCACTTTCCCCCTACTGCTGCCAGTAGGGGCTGCAGCCCCAGCTGGTGGAAGGCATCTGCGTAACATCTTAGATGCAACAGCCATCGTACATTAATGAAATTAGTAAGTAGGTTCAATGACTACTTTTCACACAGATCCCTTCCAAACACACCGTCTCCTCCAACATCTTCTGCATTGCAATAATTTCAGTTAAAATAACTGCTGTTCAACAGTTTCAGTCACCATTGTTTGAAATAAACACGCGATGTCATAGAAATCCCACCGCCACTTTGCGTTCTGGTGGTGTAATTGCAGAGCGACACACCAGCGCACAAGTATGAATGCTCACAACAACATATGCCAGTTAGGTAGGCTCTGTGTCAATCCTTAGCAGAAGTATAAACCAGGCCAGCTAGAACATGCTCAAGAACCTGCTGAGTTTGAAGATATGTGGCGAGTTTGGCTACATATTAAAGCTGCATACAGTCATACAGCTTTCATTATAGCTTGCTCATAGCAGTTTACTATTAGCCTAACAAGTTCACTAACACATAACCGACAGTGGATGGGGAAAAGCTCAAAATAATGCTTTTCTGCAAGTTTTGCTGGTTTATTGGTTATTAATTTGTCTCAGTGGGTTTTTACCATAGACTGTAAATAGAGATGGACGTAGCCTGCGTGACGTCACTCACAGGTTTCTGAAGAGCACTTTTGAAGCTCAGAGTGAGCTGCTCACCGTCGCCATCTTGTCAGTACCTGACTCCGCTGAACTCCCGGGTAATCCAAAAATGGTCAAAGAGGTGGGCGTGTGTGGAGCTGAGACTTCAGTGCATGCTGGTTTGTGGTAAGCATACGCTCACCAACCTGTCACTCAAGGAGTGACTTCAACTAGCCTACAAGCTCTCACAGAGACTGGTGTGGCTTGTGTACTGGACCGGACAGATTTATGAGATTTATTAAGCTGCATTATAATTCTTTATTCGTTATAACTAAATGAGGGTGATTTTAGATGTTGCTTACTGTTTGTAGCCTATAGTCCGACTATTTATAAAATCAAGAGCTAGTTTGTGCTCACAGAATAAAGTTTGTGAAGTGGCTGTGTCTGGAGCGGATATGCTGACAGATGTGCCAGCTGACAGTGACTGTCCTCATCACTAAACCATCAGACCCCCCCTCGCTCAGGTCCTGAGAACATGACAAAGCCTCTTGAACATCAGATATTCTTCTTGTTTTCCCTCCCTCTATTTCTTTCTGTTTCTTTTCAGTTTTTGCTGGTAGGCTAAATCTGGTGCATCTTTTTTTCTTCCTCTCTGTCTCTGTCTCTCTCTTTCTCTTTCTCTCTCTCTCTCTTTCTCTGTCTCTGTCTCTTTCTTGCTTTCTCTCCAGATCTGCATATAAAAATCTAATGTTAAATGAAAACAATAACCAGTGAAAAAATAATAGACACATGAAAACTGCAAAATAGAAACATTGCTATAATTCCACAGTGGTCAACATGACCACTTTGGCGCTCAGAAATCTTTTTAATACCTTCTAGGCTCCAGAAAACACCAAAAACATATATTTAGGAAAATTCATGGACTGAGAGACTTGTAGTTTTTACTTAGACAAAGCTATTTTCATAATAAAAACCCAAACGGTCTGTCAGACCGTCTTGGCGGTGCTAGTGTTAATAAAATTTATATAAAAATCCACCCCCCATACAGTTGTCATGAAGGAGGAAATTAGCTCTAGAGACCAAAACTGTTTTTGTACCAGGCTGAAACATGTTTATTTCTGTTGTAAAGTTGGACATTTTAACATAGGAGTCTATAGGGATTGACTCACTGTTGGAGCGGTCATTAGCGGAACTGCAGCTTCTGGTTCTTCAGTGTTGACTTAATTTGTCAGCCTTGGAGGTTACCGCTTAGTTTTTACTCACAAAGGTTTTATTGCACATACAGTAACGAGTATAGTTGCTGTCTACTTGAGTACATTTCACCTTACCCGACGCCATGCTGTCCTACGCCTTGCCCTCAGTCAGACACCAAGCAGAGGAGAGCATGCACCATAGACACCAACATCTTATTTTCCGATCTGCTAATCTCACTCACAGGTCTCTTCAGGCACAGATAAAATGCTCCTGGCTCTTACAAATTGAGAACCGGTTCAGAACTTACTGGTGTGGCCAAATCATCTTCCACATTCACACACTGTAATTTTCCCTCACATGTGAGCAAAATGCTCTCACTGTAGAGCCCTAGAATGTTTATTATTTTTGCTTCTTAAAATTGCTTAAATAGGGGCGTCGCATAGCGCAATGGGTTACGTAGGCGCCCCATATATAGAGGCTACAGTCCTCGCTGCAGCTGGCCCCCGGTTCAACTCCCGCATCGGACGGCCCTTTCCTGCGTGTCATTCCCCCTCTCTCTGCCTCCCCATTTCCTGTTTCTCTACTGTCCTGTCCATTAAAGGCACAAAAAAGCCCAAAAAATAACTTAAAAAAAAAAAAAATCGCTTAAATAATTGATCAAATATCAAAATAGTTGCTGATTTTTGTAACATTTAATATCAAACCAGAAAACCCCTCCACTCCTATTTTATAATTTTTGTAATGCATTGCACTCCTTCTCTGTAACTTATGTGTATCCATTATTTTTTTATTCATCTCCTCCATTACCTTTTGTTCCCTCCACGTGTCTCCCTCTCTTCAGGCTCATCAGCAGTGCAGGAAGGCAGACCGTTTGGTAGCGGCTGGAAAGTATGAAGAGGCCATCTCCTGCCACGGAAAAGCAGCAGGTAGGTTTTATGGCACTGACACTGTCTGTGACACTCCCTACCTTTGAGTATAGTTGCCCTAAAACAAGTATATGAAATGAACTATGACATACAGAGCTGATGTTTGAGAGTAAATCTAATTATAATACAGGATTCTGTCCATCTCATTCTCATTCATTATTCTGTCCCATTCCTGTACACATCTTCATAGAGTAATCACAAATATATGTGCAAACAGCCAGAAAGTATTATGACAGTGAACGAAACGATGACTATGATGTTGTCTATGAAGCACTGGACTGCACTGACAGTGGCGTTTTCAGAGAGACAGATCAACTGATCTGGATGAGTACATCCACGATAGTACTGTAGTTTCAAAGGACAAAGGGTCAACCTGGACTCCCCTCCTCCTCATTCTGCATCCACTCCCCCACC